CTGGTGAAATGGAGATGGAGACCTGAGGCCTCCCTGCTCAGCAGCCCAGAGCTAAGCTCCCTTACGTGGTTTGCAGACCAAGTCTTGATGCCAGTGCTGAGGCATCTGAGGCTAGTCACCGGAGACTTCCTGCATAGTGCTGCCTCAGGTGTAAGCCCTTCCTGGTTGTCTTGGGAACACTCTGCAGCATTGGACCAAGTTGTGGGATTGTGCTCCTGTACTGGGGTTGCCACAGTGAGAAGACAGAATCCAATGGCTCCTATGAGTGCTTCCAGTTCTAGGTGTGGCTTAATGCAGCAGACAGGCAGTGAGCTGGAGAGGTGGGAAGGCTGGATTCAAGTCTGCTTGCTGACAGGAATGGAGTGGTGTGTGTGTGTGTGTGTGTGTGTGTGTGTGTGTGTGTGTGTGTCCTGAGACCCTGAAGCCAGAGGAGGCTTGCTGATCACCTCGGCTGGAGTTTCCCTGGGGTCCCTGATGTTCTTGATGTTCTGAGGTTGGGGATGGCTTCTGGCAAACACTCAAGTCCATTTCCATTCCCACCTCTGCATTAGCATTCGATGAGCCCCAGGAGCTCTGCCCTTATGTTCCAGGTTCTGGCGTTGCCTTGGCAGAGGTAGGATCCCTCCCAGTTCTGGTTGTCAGCTCTGCTTTGCACAGCTGCCAGGAGCAAGTCATCAGCTCAAGCTGTTCTCTTCTTAGGGATTTTAGGGTTGCTTTCTTCTCTAGTTGATGGCTAATGCTTTGAAAAAAGACTTTGGGTGGTATATACTGGGACTTAAATATAGAACACTGGGTTAACCTGAGTACCTGGTTGCTCCTGTGCCTTGCCTATTGAGTAAAAATGCCAGTGTCTCTCAAGGGATGCATCTCCCTAATTTTACAGGTAGGAGACCCAGGAGTGTTAGTCATTGAAGAGGAGGAAAGCATCAGTTACAAGTCCATTGTTTCATAAGCAGCTGTAAACCCAGAGTACCTTAGAGACCACCATCTAAATCAAACTCCGTGATCTACCGCATATGTTTAAACCATTGTTACAAACAGTTGTGTGCTGATTGTGTTTGTGCCTCTGAAATTCCCCAGGGAATACACACCAAGTTTCAGCTAAGGGGTTAAGATGGGAAGTGATGGTTGGGAGCAGAGGGAGGAATGGCTGTAGGAAGGCTATTGGATGGAGCCTGAATATACATGGTCTGTGCATAGGGAAGGACAGGCTGGAAGGTGCTGCAGGCTGGCACACAGCTCAAACAGAGCTATGGAGGTGCCTTGACAAGCTGACCTCTCACCACAGAAAGAGAGAAAGAAAGAGAAGGAGGGCCTTGACTGCCAGGACCAAATGCTTTGCCCTAATTTTTATTTATTTTTTTAACTTAATTTATTTTTATTTCTTATAAATGAATGTATTGCCTGCATGTATGTAAGTGCACCGATGTCATGCAATGCCCGCAGAGGACAGAAGAGGGCTTTCGTTCCCCTGGAACTGGAGTTACAGATGGTTGTTAGCTGCCATGTGGGTGCTGGGATTTGAACCTGGGTCTTCTGCAAGCACAGCCAGTGCTCTTAACTGCTGAGTCATCTCTCCAGCCCTGCCCTAATTTTTATATGGACAGGAGCTTCTGATGGATTTCAAGCAGGGTCTAGGCCTTTTCTCCATTGAGCCTGCTGCTGCCCTGACCCACATTCTCCTAACTTCACCCCTGGGAGGTTGCTATAAACCTTCATGATCTCCCTCCCTCTGATCCTATCCCTCCCCAGCATGCTCTACATCAGTTTTCTACCAAAGGCTTTCCCAAGTACAAATGTGAGTGTATCTCTTTCCTTTGTGAAGCACTATGCCTCCCTGTGGCCCACTGGACAAGATCCTGGCTTACCTGGCTCAGTAAGGCCTGGCCCCACCTCCTCCTGGGGCTTCACCCCACTGTGCCTCACCAGGCACCCTAGCTTCCTACCAGCTGTGTTATTGAATTAGTGGCTGCCTTTGGCTGTGCTGCTCCTGTCCTTCAGCTAGAGAATGCCTATTCAACCTTCAAGACCCAACACAAATTTCTTGAACCTCCTGAGGCCACCATGATATCTTAAATATGCTTCTGTTTTGAAGGTCATATCACCCTATAATCTACTTCCGAAATATTGACTGCTCCTGTTTTTTGGTTTGGTTTGGTTTGGGTAGGGTTTTTGATGTTTTGGTTTGGTTTTGGGGTTTTTTTGGGTGGGGGTTGTTTGATTTGGTTTTTTTGAGGCACAGTCTTACTATGTAGACCAGGACCAGGCTGGCCTAGAACTCACAGAAATCTGCCAGCCTCTGCCCCCAATCTCCCCAGTGCTGGGATTAAAGGCATGCACTACCACACCCAGCATTACTCCTGTTTTCATTTTTTGAATGTCTCTTGTGTGACAGAGCATCCATCGTGCCATGTTGATGCATTGTTTCGTGTTATTCTCACAGTACCCAGAAAGGAGGTGCATCTCACAACAGTCCCACTTACATGTGCGGAGGCTAAAGCTCAGAAGTGGCCTGACTTGCCAAGACATAGAGTCAGGGAGTACCAGAGCTGGAATTAGATCTCAGATCTGTTTGACCCTATTTCTGCATCCTTTCATCTCCTCCCATTGTAGGCCCTCAGATAGCACTGTGCATGTGGAGAACGAGTTAAAGAGGCAGATGCTGTGTGGTTGCTATGGAGTGAGGAAATGGAAGGAGGCTACAGTGAAGAGGGGTGGATGTCCTCAGGTTGAAGGGATGAGAGATTGTTTGCACCACTCCCCCAGGCTTGGGGTTTCCTTTTGCCTCCCATTCCAAGTGGCAGCCTCTGGCTGCCTGGGGACAGGCCTGTGGGACTCCAGGTTGAGATGGTGGCATGGTGATAAACTCCATGGCAATATGACTCTTCTCTGGGGCTAAGAAGGGAGAGAGGAGCTGAGAAGACACAGGGTATACACAGAGACTTCTGAGCTAGGCTCCTGAAGAGGAGGTACTCTGTGGGCTCGGGTGGCTTCTGCCTTCCCAAGAGGGACCTTGTCTATGAGGTCCCATCCCAGCAGGGGAAATGCCACTTCCACTTTTGCCCTGAATGAGTGGCTGGTTCTGGTCTCCCCGGAGACTTGTCAGCTGTATCCAGGTACAAATGCCGTTCCGTTCCCACCCCCAGCCAGGGAGGAAGGAAGAGAGAATTCAAGAGAAGGGAGATGTGGTGTTGCCAAGCAAGGTAGTAGGAGAGACAGCTAGGACAAAGCCTGCATTGTACCAAGCCTACAGGCAGCTCCTGGATAGCTTGGCACCTTGCCTGCCTCCCAAAGTCCAGACCTGGAGCTCCACCTGGACTCTCTTGGCTCCTCGGCCACACTCATCTGGTATGATGGAGATCCTCGGATGTAAGGCCAGCCTCTGTGTTGGAAGGCCTGCTGAAGGTACTGCCTCCTCCCTGCAACCACCTGAAAGCCAGGAGATGGTAGTAATGGGGGCACGGTCAGTGAAGCCTGGGTAACATGGGCCAGAAGCCAGAGTCAGCAAAAACTGCAACTGTGTGGCCCAGGGCCCAAATGAGAGACTGTTCTCAGCAGGTCACCTGACCGTAAAGGAACCCACTCCATGGCAGGTGGTCATCAAAGCCTTGCCCACTTATGAGCAAAGATCATCCCCATCTACCTACCCCATTCCAGCTCCTCCTGCCATGTTCTCCTGTGCCCAGGAGGCAGGGACCCCTGTGTGCCTGTCTGCTGCCCCACCCCACACTTACCTAGGGCCTCTGCTGTGGGGCTGGCCCTTCTATTGTTCCCAGAGGCCCTGCTTGGGTGACTGAGACTGGTGTTTGGGAAGTGATGCCAAGTTGAGTGGGCAGCTCAGGTGACGGGCATGGTGTCAGCAGCTTTTGCAGCCTGGCACCTGATACCTCTGGGCAGACAATGCTGGCTGTGTCCAGGCCCTCTAGGAGAACAGGCTATATTCTATATCACAGCCAGGAAACAGGCCATCTGAGAAATGCCTTTGTCCAGTCAGGAGATGGCTCCGCCACAGACCAGGAGAAGCAGGCTCCTAGGAGGCCCTAATGTGAGGAGGAGGTAGTCCCTAGACCAGGGACTCCAGGGTTTGAGAACCCTGCCCCTTAGTATCTGATGCTGACCCTGCTTTAAATGCTGGCCCTGGGGTGTGACTTGCACACATGGTCCCTTCCCTCATGGGGGCCCTGATTCTTTATCTGTAATAGGGGACTAATCTCAGCACTTCCTTGTAGGGTTGTTAGGAGGAGTCTATGGCGTAATGTACGTAATGTGTATAGCATGGAACCTGGTATGCAGTGGGGCTTGGTGGCCACTTCTCCCCCAGCATGGCCTGGGGTGCAGGGCATGACATCCTCAGCTAAGCTCTCACAGTCCCTGCTCTAAACATGGAAGGAGAGGGCTGGGGCCTCTGGAGTTAGCTCAAGAGCTGTCATTAGCTGCAGATAACCCAGGTTTCTTTCCCTTGGCCCAAGGGAGCTCTGGACTGATGCCTGGTATAGTCCTGCTCTGGTGTAGCCACATCCACCACATGGGGCCTCTTCCTTCCCCACACCCCTGCAGAACTGCCTTTGTTGCTGAAACCCCCACTCAGGAAAACAGCCTAAGGACCCCTCCACAGGATTTTGGGCCTGAGTCTACCCACCCACTTATCAAGTCTCCCCAAGCCTATGAATGCCTCCTGCTAGCCCTACCTACCATGGGACACCCAGCAACAAGTAGGGAGGGTTTCTGCTCCCTGACTTCATTGTCATCAGCATCAAGCCCGTGCTCAAGTTCCCCAGTTGTGCTAGATTCAGCATGCATGTTTGCACCAAGGGGGCCAGCATGCCTGCATGCAGCATGGGAGCCAGAGGACCTGGCTTCCTGTCCTGCCTCGTGGGCAGGCGCCTGAGCATGTTCCATAAACATGTGGTGTGGCACATCTTGGAATGACTTATTCGTGTGTATCCATTTATCTGTCTACATGTGTGCTGGTATGTTGGTCTGTCTTGTCTCCCTTGTAGCCAGGAAGCCCTGAACCACGTGCCATCTGGGAAGGTGATAGTCAACGAGACCAGTCCAGCCTAATCTGGGGTTCCTAGTCCTGCTCCAGGAGTCTTCCGGCCTGCAGCCCATGCCAAGGAGGGAGAACTGGATATTGGGGGGTGGGGTCTGAGGGGCAGGGAACTGGGGCAAAGCAGGCCCAGCTAGTAGAGTAAAAGATTCTGTGCTGTGCTGGAAGGCAGGAGGTCCTTCTTCTGCTGTCCCTGTGATTGTGGGCAAGGCCTCCACCCCTCTGTGCACCTTCACTGACCTGGAAGACTTGGGGTTGGACTGATGACTCCTAGCCACCCCTGAGGCTCTGAGGACTGTGACTTAAGCTGTGGTGATAGGAGCCTGTGTATCAGGCCCCCTGAATTCACTGGTGAAGGCAGCTGTGGCCACAGCCTAGGCTACAGGCCCTCATCTGATCCCAGGGTATACTGCTGAAGGGCAAGAGGAGAAGCCATGCCAGGCAGTGGCCCCAACGAGAGGATGACATGGCCTGGCCCTGCCCTCCCCACGCCCCCCACAACCCGCCCTCTCTCCTCAGCCCCAGGGACACTGCCCATCCCACCGCTCACCAGGACCCGCAGCCTCATGGCCATGTCCTTGCCAGGGAGTAGACGGGCCTCTGCTGGATCCCGCAGGTGAGTCTCTCCCTTACCCAGAGCCTGGGCTTCAGGGGGTAAGAGGGGCTGGGTCTCTCTCTCTCCACCTGCTGTACACTTGTAGTGTGCCTTTGAGCAAATTATGCCTCAGTTTTTCCATCTTTAAAATAGACTAGCTAACCCATGCTACCTCTAGGCACTATATAAGGGCCCAAATGACACAGCAGATAGAACAGTTATCTGAAGGGTCCCATCAGCACTGGCCTGTCATTACTGTCCTTATAGTATTCTTCCTTTGACTGTGACCCCGTGAGTCCCTCCCCCAGTTGCCACTCCTATCTGCCCCATTCTTCCCGCCTCTGTCTTGGTTCATGCATGGGGATCCTTCCTGGGCTGAGAGACTCTGGAAGTTGAAGACCCTTGGTAAGGGCACATGGGGCCTACCATTTCTCCACAGCCCTGTCTAGCCTCTGCTCTTGTTCCTGGGGAGCCAGGAGGATTCCCTTCCTTCTGGTTTCCATCTTGATTTCCACTGTCTGTTCTGTCACCCCTGTCTGTGTGTGTGTCCCCTACCACTGCTTTGACCCTGCGATGATGCTGAAGTGGGGGCACTTTGGGCCGTAGCGGCCTGGCAGTGTTCACCCAGTGCCCACAACTGCCTGCCAGCCAGAATGAGCAGCTGCCTCTTCTCCCCGCCTCCAGGCGCACCTCTCCACCGGTGAGCGTGCGGGACGCCTACGGCACCTCTTCCCTCAGCAGCAGCAGCAACTCTGGCTCCTGCAAGGGCAGTGACAGCAGCCCCACACCGAGGTAACCAGCTCCTCCTTCCAGCCTGACCTGGCTGCCTGGGAACCTGGTGCCCAGGGGACGGTGAGAGCAGTGCCATGTTACGACCACCCCAACACCAGTGTACTCACTGGCCATGTGACCTGGAACAGGTCACTTCTCCCCGTTGAGCCTCAGTTCCTCTCTGTAAGATAGCCATGAGCCAATGCAGTGACTTAAGCCCACCTCAGGTGAGATTCCAGGACAGGGAGCTCGTGAAGCAGCAGAGATGTCACCTCTTCTGCACCATCCTTGTGGGCATCCCAGGGTGGCTCCTTTAAGTCATTGGGTCAACAAGGAAGGAAGAAGACAGCAAAGAACAAAGCTCTGAGAAGGAATACCTTCCTTATAAAATTTGCCTATGCTTCACTGGCTAGAACTAGGTCATGTGACTAGCTACCCATCCCGCTAATACAGTTAGTGTACAGTGCTTCCTCAGACAAAGAGGGATTCTATGGAAAAGGCAAGGTGGATGTGGAACATTTGTCTCAGGCACTGTGTGTGACCGAACTGGTGAAATGTGCACAGATGTGGCATGTACTACATGTGCTAAGTTATGGTCTAGGTACAACTAACTGAGCTCTGAGACACAGGGCCACAGTGGAGAAGCAGGTAGAGAGGTGCTGTGGGTCCTTGAAGACCAGTAGAGTCAGGATGCTGGTGTGGCATCCTGTTTCCTAAGTGTTGAAATCCAAGCTGGTGGTGAGCAAATATGTGGAGATGTGAGTTGACCTGCACTCAGCCTGTACACCCTGGACCACCAGTGAGGCTTGAGGGTTGTAGGCAAGAGTAGACGGGGATGTGTCCTGACTGCAATCCCACCTCCCTACAGGTCATGTCTTGCCCCTCTTAGCAGAGAGATGCCTCTGTGTGCAGTGATGTCCAGAGCTCCTAAAGCCACAGATGTCAGGGTTTCCCACCAAGGTGTGGATGATGGGTGATAGGCGTGTGCAGGACCTATGCCCAGCATCTGGCATCTCACCAACTCCAGAGCCTGAGGGACATCAGTAATGTGTTGACTTACGTTTTGAAAAACACATAATTGGCAACCTCAATACTTTTCTGTTCGTAACAGAGTTCTGTAACATCTCGTATCTGAGGCCCCTGAGACAGTGCCAATTCCCACGCTGAACACCTGCAGAAGTCCTGTTGCCCACCAACAGGGGCTGCTGCCCCTGGGGAGGAGGACACAATGATCCCTGAGCACCTTACTGTATAGCCAGGCTACCTCTTCTAAAAGATATGAATTATCACATTTCTCTCTTCTTGGATTTTTTTTAAAATTTAACGAAGATAGAGCTAGTGACTAAACATGTGTTAAATGTTATATTGAAAGAAAAATACTCATGAAAGCAAATGAGGAAAGTCAGAGCCCTCACTTCCCTCTAATCCTCCGGCCTTACTAGTTTAATATGGGCTCCTCTACCCCTGTCACATGCCAGGCTTGGGGCTCTTGATACTCATAAGTCTCTGTCCTGCCAAATCCCTTGCAGGGCAAGAGGACAGTTACAGAACTGGAATTGGGAACACTGTGGCTTGCTTCTCTTTTGGAAAGAGAGATCCTAGACCAGAGTGGGAAAGCCCAGGCACCCACCCATGCCATCCCTGCCCCTTACCAAGCAGAAGAGCATGCTGTGTGGCCTGGCTTCCATTCCTATTGCCACCTTCTCTCTAACATTTACAATCTACAATAAACATTATATAGCATCCATGAACTGTAAACCTGCCTTAAACCTTGCTGCTTCCACAATGGGCATCCACAGGGCCTGTTTCAGCCCCCATGTAATGTCTGTGCTGAGCCTAAGCATCCCTGTCTCCTAAGGGAGTGGAATGGGACAGCCACAGACCCTGCTCTCCATTGTGTGGGAGTTCTCCCAAGGTTTGAAGCCAAGATTCAAGCAAGCTTCTTAGGAACAGAACCAGTAGCCAGGAAGCTGTGGGCGGAACCGTCTGCGCTGTAGTCTGTTGTAGAACCAGAGAGTTCTTCTTCCTAGGAAAGCCTTGGCCAATCCTTTGCCCAGACCCCACTGGTCTCAGAGTGGAGTCTCCTCCACAGTGGTATGGTTAGGTGTGGTATGCACATACTACATCAAGTATCCCTGTGCTGGGAGCAGAGCACATCCAGCCTATAGGTCTGCACTCAGCAGGTGTCAACTTGTGTGTTCGCCCAAGCCCCTGAGTACAGATGTGTCAACATGACTGATATCCTAGCCCAAGTGATTGCTTTTGAGGGCAGCAGGATAATGGTGTGCATACACACCCATGGCATGAAGGTGCACATGGACTGGATTTCCTCAGAGGAAGGAGTGGCTGGGGCTTCCCACCACTCCTAGTGTGCCTGCCTGTAGTGTACACCTACCTGCATGTCTGTACCTAAGGGTTGGTGCAGACAGAGTTCATCATGCATGGAGACACCATGACTCCACACACGTGTCTGCTCTCCCCACCCTTGCCCCTGGGCTAGGGGGGATCTCAGCTGCAGGGAGGAGAACTTCTCTTTCCCCAGAAGATATCACTTCCTCTGTAGGTGAGTCCTTATCCTCCATGCCCTCCCAGAGCCTGCTTTCACTCCCTGCCTCCAGCCCTTATACTCATCCTCTGGGTTAGGGATGGGCAGCCTGGGCTATGGGAGCCACTGGGACTGTGTGGAAGCTTGGTGAGCCAGCTTTTCTGATGCCAGTGCCTATCAGAAGGACAAAGGCTTCTTTATACTCTGTTTCATTGAGGGCATACTCACACCTCATGGTATGTTCCCGTTCCCTTAAGCAGAGGAGCCTTGAGTCCCTCATCCTGGTCTTCATTCAGAAGTGCTTCATTAAACCCACCTCCCAGAAAGCTGGTGTCCTTGTGCCACACCCACATGGGCTGTGCTGGAGGTGGCTTAAAGCCATCTGGTGACATGGGCTGAAGATAGTTAGGCTGGAGTCCCCTGCTCTCTGGCCCAGCACTGCACCTTTCTTGTCCTCTCTCCCCCAACCCCTGATGGGCGTCCCCTTACAGGCGCTCCATGAAGTACACACTATGCAGTGACAACCATGGCATCAAGCCCCCCACTCCAGAGCAGTACCTGACTCCACTGCAGCAGAAGGAGGTGTGCATCCGGCACCTGAAGGCCCGGCTCAAGGACACGCAGGACCGGCTCCAGGACCGGTAAGCTGCAGCTGGGGAAGGAGGGATGGGTCTTACTGTCATCTACCTGTACTCCTCTCAGTAAAGCCTCAGTTGAGCCAATTTGAAGCACCTCCAGCCCCTATTCCTTTTGGCTGCTTCAGGCAGCTACTTGGGGCTGGCAGGGAGGGTTCTCTGTAAGGATTGTACTGTCAGCCGCCCTCCTGCTACAGACCTCTCCCAGCCATAGCCTTGCAGCACCTTCTAATGCTTCTTATTCCCTGGCTACTGTCTTCCCAGGAAACCGGACCACAGAGTGTCTCTCCCTGGCCTCCTTATCTCTGGAGGTTGGAAATAGCCCTTTAACCTTCCCTTGCCTCCACACAGTGAGGCACTGGGCCTCTTAGACCACAAGATCAGGCCTAGAAGCCTTCTTCCGTATCTACTTCCTTCCTATAGATGATACAAGATCAGGAGATGCTGTAACCAAGCCCTGGGGATTTCCTGGAAGCTCAAGCCCAGCTGTGCTGATTCTTGGGGACCTTAGAGTAACAGTGCTGACCCTCCTATTGGTTTCAGCTTTAACAACCATACTTCAAGGCTGGGCATTACGGTTCACATCACCCAAGTACTCAGAAGTCTGAGGCAGGAGGATTGTGAGCTTGAGGACAGCCTGACCTACATAGTGAGGCCCTGTCTCAAGCAACAACAACAAAAGTCATACAGTTACAATGGGTAATTCTCATCACCTGAACCAGTCTCCTCTGGACTGTGTCTTTTGTAAGCTAGACAAGGCTGTGCTGGACACGAGGGCTCAAGGCAGGCATCACTACTGTGTTCTTTCTTTTCTTCTATAGCAGCGTTACATAGTACCCCATTTAAGTAATCCACATTCCATATAATTGGTCTATCTAAAGTATGTAATTAGATGGCTTGTGGTGTCTTCCCAGAATGATGTAATCATTGCCATGACCCAATTCTACTTTTTTTTTCAAATGTTTTATTATTTGAGTATATTGCCTGCATGTATGTAAGTGCATCCATGTCGTGCAATGCCTGTAGAGGTCAGGAGAGGGCATTGAATTCCCCTGGAACTGAAGCTACAGACCATTATTAGCCACCATGTAGGTGCTGGGAATTGAACCTAGATCCTCTGCCAGAGCAGCCAGTGCTCTTAACCACTGAGCCATCTCCCCAACCCCTCCAATTCTACTTTTTTAAAATCACCCTGTTCTGTTAGCAGTCATTCTCTGTCTTTTCCAGCCACCTAGCCCCTGACAACCATGGGTCTTCCTGTCTCTGTATCTGTGTTCTCTGGATGTTTCATAATACAATATGTGTAACTGTGTCTTTCTTCACCAAGCCCCTGCCAAGTGCCAACCTAGTTTAGATTTGCTGTGATTTCAGAGAATGGAAGGTTTTAGGTCCCTGCCATCTTTGAGCTAGGATTTCTACTTCTGGCCACCCAGAATCTGATTGTCTTTCTGTACTGATGTCCACAAGAAGCCAGTAGCCAGTCTCCCAGCGTTGTCTCTGGGCTAGCTCAGTGGCATGTAGACCATCTATCTGTGTTGTTTGGCATCTTGTGGGTTCCCTCACTCACCCTATCCCTAGCCACACTGTCTGTTACCCTTACAGATCCTTCCTTACTCTTCACTCTGCCGTTATTTCACACCCGTACTTCCTGTACTAGCCTACCTCCTACTCCTCGGATACCGTGTGCTCTGACAAACCCCTCTGTGCTTCTGGATACTGCCCCGACCCTTTCAGGTGTCTTTCTCACATCTTGCTTCCTTGCCAACTCCTTCATTTACTTCAACTGTAATCCCTACAGTGCACAAGGCCTGCTCAGGACTGGGAAACCATTGCTTCCTGATGTCTAGACAACTCCAAGGAGGTCAAGGGGCAGCTAAGCTGAGCATGCCCAGTTCCTTCTTCTAGGGCAGGCATGAGTAAGAAGTGTAGGAAGAGCCCCATCCTAAGACCGGAGGAATAAGAGCAGGTACCCACACCTGTTGGTCCTGTCATTGCCACTAAGTAGCTCCAGTCACTGCCCTCCCACACACACCTACTGCTGGTCAGTCCCTTCCAGAAGATGTTGCTGCTGACTTCCAGGGCTACTGTGGCCTTTCAGTCCCTTTGGCACATTCTTCAGGTTCCTGGGCCCATTTCAGAATGGAATTTCCAGTCTAATTTTAGGAAATACATGGTCCCTCTGTGGTACAGACACTCCCCTAGGCTCATGAACCTCCCTCCCACCCCTGCCCCACTGCCAGTGGCCATGATGTTGGTACTTATTCACGTGAGCTGGACTTCCAGCTGAGACCACTTGTGACTCAGGGCTGACAAGGTTCTAGAGGAAGAATGCCCAGGGAGAGTGTTAAGCCTCAGGGAGTGTCCTCTTTACACTGCTTGCAGTCAGTGTCCCCTGACACTGGGTCTCACCCTGATTTTCCCTCTAGACTCCATGGTATATTCTGCTAACCACCTCCCTCTCTTGCACCCCCTCAGATAACTCAGGGATTCGAAGAAGCCTCAGCATTTCTGGGGAGGTGATCTGCCTGCTAGCACGTCCCTTTTCCTATCAGTAGCTGTGCGTGTCTCATCCATCTTTTCAGCCTCTCCTCTTGGTAATAAATACAAAGAAGCTTCAGCTCCCCCACCAATACCAAAAGCCACCATTTCTCATTTCCTCTCTCCCTCTCTCTCTCTCTCTCCCTCTCTCTCTCTCGCTCTCTCTCTCTCTCCCCTCCCCCCTCCCTCTCCCTCTCCCTCTCCTTCTTCTCTCCTCTCTCCTCTCTCAGAATCCCTGCAAGTGTCCCTCCACTTAAAGTGGTCACAACCTACTTTAGTAGGAAGTCATATTGCTGTCTAGTGTTTGCTCTTTTGCGTTACAAATTTATTGTTTTCAAGGCAGTAAGCTTTCAATTTAGAATCTTGGTACAGTCTCCTTTGTAGATTATGTAAAGGGCTCAGCTTAATGAGTGAGATGGTGCCATGGCTCTCTCTTCTTCCTCTCAGTGGGGCCTCTCCTGTCTTGACCCTGGCCCCACCTATCCTTTCTGCTTCCCTTTGGAGTGGAAGAAAGGAGAAGAGGCATCAAATCCTCTGCTTCTTGTCTGTAGCTTTGAGCCACTCCAGGGCAGGGCCATCTGTGCTTGGTGATGCCTCCTTGCCTCCCTGTGGTGGCAGTGACAGGTCAGGAAGACAGGCTGTGAGCGAGTGTGTTTCCTTTGCTGGCAGGGACACAGAGATTGATGACCTGAAGACGCAGCTGTCACGCATGCAAGAGGACTGGATCGAGGAGGAGTGCCATCGTGTGGAGGCCCAGCTGGCGCTGAAGGAGGCCCGCAAGGAGATTAAACAGCTCAAGCAGGTCATCGACACAGTCAAGAACAACCTGATCGACAAGGACAAGGGGCTGCAGAAGTACTTTGTGGACATCAACATCCAGAACAAGAAGCTAGAGACCCTGTTGCACAGCATGGAGGTGGCCCAAAATGGCACGGCCAAGGAGGAGGGCACTGGGGAGTCAGCCGGTGGGTCCCCTGCACGTTCCCTCACCCGCAGTTCCACCTACACTAAGCTGAGTGACCCGGCCGTCTGTGGTGACCGCCAGCCTGGTGATCCCTCCAGCACTTCTGCTGAGGATGGAGCTGATAGTGGTTTTGTGGCTGCCGATGACACACTGAGCCGGACGGATGCCCTGGAGGCCAGCAGCCTGCTGTCATCGGGGGTGGACTGTGGTCTTGAGGAGGCCTCACTGCACAGCTCCTTCAACCTTGGCCCCCACTTCCCTGCCAGCAACACCTATGAGAAGCTGCTGTGTGGCATGGAGGCTGGCGTGCAGGCCAGCTGCATGCAGGAGCGGGCTATCCAGACAGACTTCGTGCAGTACCAGCCTGACCTGGACACCATCCTGGAGAAAGTGGGCCAGGCTCAGGTGTGTGGGACAGTGTCCAAGGACAGGCACTCAGAGCTGCATCCCCACCCCTCAGGGCCCAGAGACCCCAACTCAGCAGTGGTGGTGACAGTGGGTGACGAGCTTGAGGCCCCAGAGCCCATCACTTGTGGGCCCTCTACACACCAGCCTGCAGCCAACTCCAATCCAGGGTTGCCAGTCAGCGTGGTGTGTCCTGTGGAAGAAGAGGAGGAGGCAGCCACCACTGAAAAGGAGCCCAAGAGCTACTGGAGCCGCCACTACATCGTGGATCTGCTGGCTGTGGTGGTGCCAGCTGTGCCCACGGTGGCCTGGCTCTGCCGCTCCCAGCGGCGCCAGGGCCAGCCCATTTACAATATCAGCTCCCTGCTGCGGGGCTGCTGCACCGTGGCCTTGCACTCCATCCGCAGGATCAGCTGCCGTTCGCTAAGCCAGCCGGACTCCAGCTCAGGGGGTGGCTCCCAACTCTGAGGATGCCGTCTGTGCAGTTCTCCACTGAGGCAGCCTGACCATTGATTGTAGGATGCCAGTCACTCTCCCCTCACAGATCCCCTCACAGATTCCCCATGGCATCATCTTATTTATTTACTTTCGGGTTTGGAATAGTTTTCCTCCCAGATATTAACAGTGTCAGGGATTTGGAAATGTATCACAGAACTTCAAGAGAGAAAAGGTAAGGGAGGCCAACTGAAGAGGGAGAAGCTGGTGAGAGCCTCCCCACCCGACCCCTCTTGTCCACCCAGCCTTCAGATAAGGTGGGCCCTGCTCAGGGAGTCTGGCTGTATTGATCTGGGGACCCTCCCTTTCCCTCACTGTTCCTTCTAGCACCCTGCCAACTCCATGCCTTTTCTCCCAAACCACCCCTTATCCCCTCCTCAGGCTCCTGGACCAGTATTACCTCCTCAAATGGAGGCAGCCAGGAGGAGTGCAGAGAACCCACCTGAGCAGGGTCTGGATCCCTGGGGCCTGCAGAAGCTCTAGCCTTCCCCTCCTTCCCCTTGGGATATAGACGTGCAGAACAGCCGGAAGGAGGGGCAGAGGGCAGGGTGGGTTCTGTGTATGTCTGTCTGTCTTTCAGGCCCTTTACACACTCTGTTTTCCACTTGGCTTCTAGGTGTGTCTGATCTTTGTTAGACCTCCACTCCCCTACCCCCACCCTGACCCACTCATCCTGGGATTGGGAGCCCTTGCCCAAGCCCCAGCTGCCATTGGGAGAATCTGCCAGCACAGAGGAGGCAGGGCCAGCAGCTCCAAGGGCCTCTACCTTCTGAGATGAGTCCACCTCATCTGCAGCCTGGAGATGCCAGAGACTGGACCCCAAAACCCTCAGCAAGCTTGGAAAGACAGAGACCACTTGGCCCGGGCTCCTCTGGCCATTGGCCCAATCTCTGCTTTGCACTAGGTTCCCTGGGCTTGGTACCTGCCCATCTCAGGACCTCCAGTAGGTGGCTGCTTGCTTTCTGGGATCAGAGCTCTTGAATCTCTGACCCAACTGTACCTAAAGGAAGGTGGCCATCTGGATGAATCTCCAGATGGGGTTCTGAAGCCACAGCAACTATCTTGTCTATGCCAAAGCAGGGTGCCCTGGGTATGTTTCCTAGGCAGGGTATGCCAGGTACGTGAGAGCCTGCCTACTCTGCTCCTGGCCCAGGCCCAGTCAGCCTGGAAAGATAACCTGACCCCCACTTCCCACCTCTTCTACAGAAGGGGTTATAGCTACCTGGTTGGCCCACCTACTCAACAGAGGTTAGGCCCCACCTTTAAGGAGTTGGTGGAACCCTGTGTCTCGCCCTCTGGCATAGGGGCCTCTCTGGTTCTTTGCCAAGGTTGCTCACCCTTACTCTGCTGCTCCGACGGCCACTACCTGACTCATGGGTTCAGCCCCTCCACTCTGTGCCCTTTCTGAGGGGCACCTGCATGCACTGGGAGTGGGCAGCCAGCCTAGCCATCGGGGCAAGAACCCTCTATCATGCGCTTTGTGCCTCCAAAGCTCCCCCACCTCGGTTGGGGCCTCAGACCAGCCATCCTTGGTGGAGTACCCCTACCCGAGCTGAACCAAACCAGAATGTCTGAGACCTGGCTGGGGCTGCCCCACAGGACACTGGGGTGGTGCCATGGAGAGGCAGGGGACAAAACTGATCCAAAGCCAAGCCAGGACTGGCCACGGACCCAGCCTCCTACACCGTGCACTCACATGAAGCTGCATAGTGTCTCCTTAGCAACAAAGCTTTGCTGAGAAAATAAATGTATGAACTATATTTGACAACATGAAATGAATATATTTTTCACCACTGGCATTTAGTCCAAGTTCACAGCCCTCTGCTCCTGTCGCTGTCTTGCTGTCTGGGCCTTCTTGTTGTGTCTTGTGTTTTTGTGGACCTGGGCAGGGATGGGCCTGTGGTCTACTTTGTCCCTGCTGCTGGAGAAGCCATTGTGAAGGGTCCAAGCCTGTGGAGACAGTGAGTGGGGCTGGCCACCACTCTCTGCCCCTGCTCTGGTCCCAGATCTGCCTGTGGTCATCAGGGGATCTAGCCTGCAGTGAGAGTCCTCTTTAGTGAGTTCCGGTGAGTGAGACTATCCAGGCACTGCTTCTGGCCAGTGGAGGGAGCAGCTCAACACCCAGCTCTGGGACAGACCCTGGGCCCCTTGCAGGCTGGAGGTACTGGATTGAATCCTGGGTGTGCATGAGCTCAGAAGTCCCACATCTATGCAAAGGGGCTGTAATGCCTGCATGGCTCCAAGAAATGGGCCTGGAAGTAGACATACTACAGCAGCCTGCTGGTTCTGGATCTGGAAGAGGAGGCTGAGAGAGCAAGGCTCTGCCTTAGATGCTTATCCCCAAAGCTCCCTTCTCTTCCACTTGTGCCCCATCATGGGCTGCAACCTACCCTCTTGCCCTTGGCTCCTGGAGCAGAAATCTTTAGGGCTTCTCTCTGCCTCCAGTTGCAGCTGATAAGATCCTGAGGAAGTGTCCTCAGAAACCGCCTTCTATTGCTACTGGTCCCTTAGAGCCTAGTAGCTGGAAACAGTGGCTTCTTAGTTCTGAGGCCAGGGCTACAGCACCCTGCTGCCCCTCTATCGGGACCTAGGTAGGACTTCTGAACAGAGCCAGCCTTGAGCAGAGTTCATGGCAAATGTTTCCAAGCGGGTAGCATACATACCTAGCTTTTCCCTGAGACATCATTCTATTTGTTACCTGCATAAACATCTGACAGTAAATCCAGGCCTACTGAGGAGCCTCTGCCCAGAGAACTCACTACTCCCTGTGACCTAGGCAACAAAGCAAACAGGACAAGGTGCACTCTCACATTAGGCCATCCCCTTGACAGAGAATGCAGGGTACACAGGAGGGAGGCAGTGAGGAATCTTGACTCTCATCTCCTGTCTTATTGTTCAGACAGAGTTGCACCTGTAGCAGACAGCTCTGAATTAAAGCATGAACACTCAGTGAGCCCCCTCAGCCTGGTGTCTTTGTATTGTGTCATTTCTCTAAATGTGTTGGGGTGGGTGGGAGACTCATACGGTGGCACCCAGCACAGACAGAACCAGCTATTGGCTGGTTTAGCCCCTTCAGGCTCCGCTGCATAGGGATGGAGTCTCTGCCCAGCCAGAGTCAGACACAGGGTATAGAACTAACTCCCTGTCTCTGACGTCGGATTTTTGCAGCTGCATAAACAGCCATGGTCATTCAACAAGGGTCCCAGAGCCAGTACAGAGTTCCCTCTACCATCCCTGCCACCCCATAACCACACAGCCCCAATTCCAGCATTCCCATCTCAGACTGGCAGGCAGCCCACAATGCAAAGGTTCCACTGTTCTCAGAGGCAGCACACAGAGGCCTTGGACTCACCACTGTTCAAAATCAAAGCAGCCCTGGCATGTCATGAGACTAAGGACTCTGGAACTTCCAATAACTTTCAAGGATGGGACTGTGTTTAAAATACAATCTTTATTCATGAGACAGTAAAGGGGTCTAACTAATCTACATACAATCTGTGACAGAGTGAAAAAAGGCAAAGAGCATGCTCACAAAGAATGAATGCCTTTCTCAAGTCGTGGTTGATTTCCCGGTAGAGGCAAAACTCTGCAAAAGGACCCAGCTGCAACGCAGACATTCTGTTTCGCCTAAATGCCCAGCATCTACAATGCACAGAACCAGCTGCCTGTGCCCTGCCAGTGCTTTAGCCCAGTTAGGAGTCTGAGGCACTCAAAAGCTCTACACAGGGCACAGCAAACTCATCCTGAAGCCATCCACCAGGGACACACCCCCCACAATACCCCAGTCCCAGGCAGCAGGCCAGCTGCAACCTGTCATTTGAGGACTGCTATCCTTCCTGGCCAGATGGCAGGGGGCCTGGGCTGTTTTCCTGTGGCTTCAGATGTCTGGGATGGAGTGGTCCATGGTGTGGTGGAGCAGCAGCGGGGACAACCTAGATATGACAACAATGACTGGCTAAAACTGGCAGCCGTTTCTCCCTCCATCCACCCTAGCCGTACACCACATGGTGGCTACTCCAGTTCCCACTTCTAAGGATGTCAAGTCACCAGAAGCCACCAGCCACCTTGAAACGGAAGGGAAGCAAGAATGGCCTGAGCTCTGGGTCAGCATGGTGGGGAAGTGGAAAGGAAGCAGAGGATGGGGAGGTGGAGAGGAAGCAGAGGGAGGGGAGGTCGAGAGGAAGCAGAGGATGGGGAGGTGGAGAGGAAGCAGAGGGTAGAGGAGGTGGAGAGGAAGCAGAGGGTGGGGAGGCGGAGAGGAAGCAGAGGGCGGGGAGTGGAGAGGAAGCAGAGGGCGGGGAGGTCGAGAGGAAGCAGAGGGAGGGGAGGGCGAGAGGAAG